CATTTTTAAATAGCCTCAATTAACTTAAAAAATAATTGTAGCCATGATATATTTTACTCTTTCATAATATAATACATCAATAATAGTATTTTAAATCGACATTTTCACTAACATTTAAATTAATACTTTTAATTTAGTGCACTACGTAATTTTAACCCTCATTTTTGTTTATTTAACCAGTCAAATTTGCCACGAATACTTACACTTAAAGCGCATAGTAATATCAACAAAAGATATAAATGACATATATGTAGGTATATTTATTAGTATTCAATATAACAATTTCCGATGATACAAAGTCAGAGATGAGGATTGCGAACGATTAAATAGTTAATATTAAAATCGATTTTTATCGTTATCTAGAATACATTGTATTATTGCATTATTTCAATAACTTTGATTAATTTGGATAAAATGAATATTTATTTGGTTAATTTTAGTTTTTGTTACTTATTCTCATGTTATTTACATATTATTATTAAGATATCGATTTTTTACAATCATTCGTCCTCGCCCATCTCTAATAGTCATTGAACGCGTTTTATGTCATTGTGATACACATATGTACTTGTAACTATGGTGTTAATAAAAATGGCTGTTAGTGTTTCTGATAATTAAAAAGTAATCTACATGAAAAAATTTGCACCATTGCCCCTATAATATCCAAATATACATAATAATAATAATTGTTGATTAAAGCCTCATTGATAGCCATATATCATAATTCGATAGTAAATTATATTCGCCGTGTACTATAATAACGTGAGCTACACAAAAATAATGGAAGTCCTACTTTATCAACGAAACTGATAAAACTGCATTATAATATGTTGCCTATAAATGATAAATACATACATATATTTTTAAAATATCACACATTGAAACAATTCCTTGTCAAAATTTTATGCATATCGAGTAATATCAAGCGATACTACAACCCATATATCTAATACTCCTTTATTTCTAACACTCGTGTTACAGAGTGAGATAGCAAAATCACTTCTCTTCTCTACTTCTATCTCTTTTCTTCCTACTCTTTGTGCGTGTGTGGTGATATAAACTGACGCACACATGCAAACACTCTATTTTTCTAAATTTTTTTTAGATAATGAGGGAAGAGCAATACAGCAGTATTAGATATATGACCTACAACTCACGTGAGCTACGTACTAAAATCACCAATTGTCTATACACGTGTTTCTATTCACCCGTCTAATAGACAAATCTTATACCGTTTTACAATCAAGTGCACTTAATGATTTCTCACTACGTTAGTTTCATTTGTTTAAATTTAATATAGCCTTAGGTCTAATGCAATAAAATTGTATTTCATACAAAATACCTTATTGACAGTCCGATTAGTGCTAATATTGTGTTGCGAGAATAAACGTATACGCATATAGGCGTCTTAGAGATATGACCACTGAGCATATTTACTTTAAGAATATTTTGCAATACTTAATTCTAGATATAGATAAAATGTATAAATGAATGATAAATAATATCCAATCCATCTTGCTTACAATTCGGTTGCTTTAAAAAACGGTGTGTCATTTTTTATATGCGGTTTTTTTATATACCAACACTTTGAAGCACTGATAAAACAAAGATAAATTCTTAATTAAACTTGTATACAAATTGCCATTGTAGATTAAAGTGACTAAGTATATGGCAATACGCAATAAACAACTTTAGTATACGCGAAATGTCCGAATCAAAATGGCGTCGGTCTTGCTAACAGATAAATAACTATGATAAACCGCCCGCGCCATCTTGAAATAACTTGTATGACACGTATGTAACGTCAAAAACTTAGGAGTGACATTCAAAATGAATGTCTTAAAGAGGTGATATTTTATATTGGGGTTATATGTCACGTTAGTAACTTTATCACATGGACGGAGATTACATTTACCATGAACGAACCCCTTCCTTCTATAATATGATAGTTTAATCCTACTCGTTAGTCTATTAGGAAACTTTGCAGTGCGTCTATATATAGGGAAGCCTTGTACGTGCACTTTACGTATAATTTTTTTCTATTATTAATAGTGTGGATGACGTATATAATGTACTTCGTAAGATCAAATGCCACAAATTTAATGTTAAAAATAATTAAATTCATATGTACATGGTGTGATAAATATATATAAAAAAATAATTTGATGTAATTTTAGACTTTAACAAAAGCCTGCAACGTTGTAAGAATTTCTTCACAAAAATCACGTAGACTATTAATTCCACGCATACTAATTTTTATGTTGTAAACATTCTTGACATAATGTTAACAAGGTCACCAAGATCTTTAACAGACTTGCATAAACATCAGTTTAACATATTTCAAAATAAATTTTAATGCAAATCTATGTATTAAATTATTCACACCATGTACCAAATTGAGTTTTATGAATATACTGAAGATTCAAATTAAAAATCAAGTAATGCTCATACATACATACGTAAAAATATACGTATTAAATATTTAATATCTGTTTAGTACATTTGGCCTTCCATTTGATCATATATTGTATCTCTATCGTTAGTATTGCGTACACGTTCAGATGATCATAGGCACTTTATCTTTTGGTGTTAACGTTACATTCGTATGTGAATGAGGCGATGTAATTATATTAAAGCCCCTTTGTGCTAAAGCAGACTTATTTACAATATAGTGGTCTCTGTCTATAGAAAACTGTATAGATATAGATTTTAATGTCATATATATTGCAAATTATTAATACTAGACCTACTTATTATAATTAAAAAATATATATAAAAAATCATATTGTTAACCTATGATTTGTGACAGAATTGTCTGAGCATATGTATAGAGTTTACCATAGACAAGACCTAAAAATCAAAATACATACAAATCTAACTACAATAGTGTCTAAATTGGAAGCATCGAATTCATCAATTCCGTGAGTGCTAAAATTAACAAGTACTCGCCTAAGCTTAAATGTGTTGAAAAGGGGTCAAAATTGTTGGGACGTTACAAAAACATTGGCCATACTTATTTTGTCTAAACAATTCCAACCCCTAGTACTGGTCCATCTTTTACGTTTGATATAACACACCCAATGTGTATACACAACCGAACTCTTGACAGAAGTTCTAAGTGAATTTCCTATGTAATAAAGCCAAATTGATTTAAAAAGATTAACATATTGTCACGAAATTGTGCAAAAATATAAAGTCATTAAAATCATTTAAAGTATAGTCTTTAGTCTTAGAACAGATTACACAATACTATAATTAGTACAGATGTCCCATCCTTATATATACAAAGCAATATGACAGCCTTAATTTAGGTCACCCATGTGATTTTTTTATATATTCATTTTTTTAGATCGAAGGCGTTGATATGCAAATTGTAGAATTATTTTTTTAAATTATCAAATACGTATGTAACATATTTTGAATATGTTCAATACAGCAAAACTAATGTTGAATTAAATAGAACAAATTTCAATGTTGTTAATGTAAACATTGACATTTATAAATATGATTTGATTTTCTGTTTCTGATTTTCCAATAATATAATCAGTAAAAATTTAAATTTACACTAAACAAAAAAAAACAAATTAATACATACAACGCCATCTATGTTTTTTTTTGTTCCTGATTTTCATTTAATTAAAGGTTTTTTTTGTTCCTGATTATATCCCACAGCTATTTAAATATTAAAGATACGAAATCACGGACAGACAACACTAATTCTAAACTAATTTTACAATTCAAAAGTACTTGTAAAAGTCCAATTGAATAAAGCTAAATTTAATTTTATTTGAAATGCTTACAATAACCCTTTTTCGCTTCTTTTATGTATCTAATAACTACGACCCGAATTGAATTTTCCAGAAGTGAATGTGAGAGTGTAAAAATTCATTATTATCTCAGTGCAAAACATAGTTTCTACATACTTTTGCTAAAACCACTCTCGATTATAAGAAAAGAACATATAGTTTTATCACATAAGAAATTCACCAAGCCCTTAATTTCACTACAACTAGTTTTTAGATGTTTACATACTTTATTATAAATCTAAGTATCAATAGCTACAAAAAAGCTACCGATATCGTCATTTTATTACAAATAAAATAAATCGACTAAATATATTGTCTATGGTTTAAACGTTATTGAATGAATATTGTGCTTTATGTCAAAATGATAACTCAGTCTAGAATAAACTTAAGTAATCTTTTTCATAAAAATATAACAACTCATTGTAAGTTTTCTTTCGTTGGCTGTCTATAAGACAGATTTAAAAAAAACTTACTACTTGTAATAATTGTATGCCTCACCTTAATTTAATTTAATATCAATAAAATAACATGGGATAAAATAGTAGACTATTACCTGCAAAAAAATGTACAATTTTAGATTATTCAATAGACAAATATTTCTTCAAATGTTATGAATCTATACTAATATTATAAATGTGAAAGTATGTGAGGATGGATGGATGGACGTTAGTCAAACACGTCAGAAAGGCATAACGGATCTGGATGAAATAAAAATGAAATTGCCATAGAGATAGCTTATACTCTGGAATAGCACATAAGCTACTTTTTATCCCGGAAAAATGTACGGTTCCCGTGGGATAAGTGGGGTTTTTGTCTAAAGATGAAATCAAAGTGAAGCGGGGGTGAGTCGCTAGTATTATAAACTTCGGACTTATCATCCAGATTCGGCCAGAACGGCTGTTCTAGTGTTAAGAATAAAAAACTCCGTCCATCCATCCATCATCACGAACTTTCACATTTTATAATATTAGTAAGGATGTGAAAGTAACATTCTCTATCTGTTACCTTTTTATGCTTAAACTGCTGAACAGATTTCGATAAAATTTAGCAAGAACAGATTAAATCATAGGCAACCTTTAATATATAATTTATAGTGTTTAAACAAATCTTACCAAATAAAAAAACCGATGAACAAATCCAGTGGCATGTTACCAAAATAACTTTCAAACATATTCGAATCTGAGGCACTATTCACTGGAAGAGCGTGTACTGATCTAAGGGATTGAAGTCGTTGCTGGTCATATGCGTTGCGTTGTACGCTATACGGTATCCCCATAGAGCCATGGCTTCTTTGCATGTCATCTGAAATAAAAAAAAAAATTGGTTCAGTGCGAAATGGCAAAGCGAATTGAGTGTTTCATATCGAAATTAATGATAGTAGACTTATATTAGCTTCATTTTCCTTTATCTAGTGGTACCTAACTATATAGATATATTGTAATTTCCGAAAAATTAAAAATGTTTATTAATTCATTTTAAGAGGGCATGTTCTAGACATTTACAACATACGCAATAATATTAGAGTACTGTTATAAATGTGAAAGTTTGCGTGCGTGTGTGGGTATGCGTGCGTCTGTGTGTGGGTGTGCGCGCGTCTGTGGGTGCGTGTGCGCGCGTGTGTTGTCGCGTGTGCTTGTTTTTTTTACGCTGGAACGGATGGACGAATTTGAATGAAATTTGGTAGGTGCTCAAATAGACTACGGGGAGACCTGGAGTAACATACTACACTTTTTACTGTCAGCCACTTTTTTTAAATTATAGTGGTAGCTAGCTATTAACCATAATACTAGTATTAGTCATTAATCCACACTCGCTTGTATTCAGCCCTATTTAACGTCCCACTGCTGGGCACGTGCCTCCCTTCAATACGAGGAGATCAGGCCATAATCCACCATGCTGGCCAAGCGCGGACTTCACATGTCCTTCGAAAACTTCCTAGGTTTTCTCAGACATGCAGATTTCCATACGATGTTTTCCTTCACCGTAAGGCAAGTGGTAATCATGTTAGAAATGATTGGCACATGAAAATATCAGAGGAGCGAGACCTGTGATTTGAACCCGCTTAACTCGGTTTCCCAAGCGAGCGATTTTGTCTAATTTTCAGTCATATTAATTTATACCTATATCTGAATATTTTGAATGTTTTAAGACACAACAATAAAAAGAAGAATAATTTAATTACATACTACAGGTAGGTAGTATCAGAACGTTATATGGTTGAAATATCGAAGTCATTAGCGGGTCCTTAATCGTCCTCGATAAAATTAAGTAGGTACGATAAAATGTAAATAAATGTAATCAGACCTCACAGTTAACGCATGTGTACTTAAAAATTCAAGATAATACAATCGAAGAAATTGTTATTTTACATATTAAAATTCCGTGTACAATAAATCCAAATGTTATATATTTAAATATCTACAAAAAAGTAAAAGTAAGTAAAAATCAAATTCTCCCTTTGGCCACTCCTGATTCTCCCATTTTTAAATTTAGTCAATTTACAGAATGTGACGTTCGGAAACACATAGTGGCAATTAACTCTGATGCGGTTGGCTCTGACTGCATTAGTCGTAAAATGATCGTTCCTTTATTAGATATATTGATCCCTTTTTTTTTTTTTAACGTTGGGAAATGCATTTACGCACGACGTGTGGGACTCACCGGCGTAATACAGCCAGTACTACCCACTAAAACCCAACAAAACCTTCCCCCGTCTTAATGGGGCGTCGCAGGATCGCTTACGCATTCAACTACGACGCCCCGACGGCAGGTCCGCCGAAGCAGACCACCACAACCATGGGGTTGCTCCACAGTCCACTCTGCTATCAGAGAAGTACCAGGAGCAACCCGCATGGTACACCGCCCTCCGAAGAGGGCCACCTCCCACCGCCCACCGAAGTGGGCAACCTCCCTGTGCGTTTCTTAGCTTCGCTACTGCTACTGAGCCCCCCCACCACGACAAGGTGAACGCACGTTGGTATATTGATCCCTGTCATAACTTCCATGCTTAATTTTTCTATTAATACTGGCTGCTTTCCATCCGCATAGAAAGATGCTCAAGTAATACCTTTACCAAAAAAAACAATCCCACTACTTTCTCCGACTATCGTCCTATTTCCATTCTACCCTTTTTATCCAAAGTGCTCGAGCGCTTTGTACATCATCCACTAAGTAATTTCCTTTCAAATCATAATCTACTGAATCCTATGCAATCCGGCTTTCGTTATAGTCACAGCACGACTACTGCACTCGTTAAAATAACAAATGACATCAGACTAGGAATGGAAAATCAACAAGTCACAGTTTTGACACTATTAGATTTTAGTAACGCTTTTAACACTGTTGATTTTGATATTCTGCTTGCTACATTGTGTTCTCTTAACATATCTCCAGATGTGATTGACTGGTTTCACAATTACTTGTATGGTCGCCGGCAACGAATCCGTATTCACGATTCTTACTCTGAATGAATTTCGCTACATGCCGGTCTTCCTCAAGGTGGCCTGTTGTCTCCTCTTTGATTTTCTATATTTGTTAACTCTCTCTGTAAATATATTTCTTCTCCCTACCACCTCTATGCAGATGATCTACAAATCTACTGCCAAACGACCGTATTAAACCTAACTCAAACCATCGATCATATTAATACTGACCTACTTAATATTTCGCAAAAAAGTAAATCATTAGGCTTAATAGTGAATCCAGGTAAAACACAAGCTATAATTATAGGTAGTTCAAAAAAAATCAAAAATATCTTTATCACAATTACCACCTATTATGCTTGACGGTATACAAATTCCTTACAGCGATAAAGTGAGAAATCTAGGTATTATATTAGACGAGACATTATCTTGGAAGTCACAGGTGGGCGAAGTGAGCAGAAAAATGTTTGCTGCCGTTGCATCATTACGTCGCTTACGCAACTTTCTACCCATTTTCACTAAAATTGCCTTGGCTAACACTCTTTTATTACCAATTCTTGACTATGCTGATACTTGTTACCTTGATTTAAGAGAGGAACAATTAAATAAACTTGAGCGAATTCAAAATCTCTGCATTCGGTTCATATTTGGACTTCGTAAACATGACCACGTTTACGAATTTTGTTAAAAGTTCAAGTGGCTCCCTATCCGTCTTCGCAGAAATACTCACGTTCTTTGTCTTTTATATAATATTCTATTTAATCCCTGTATACCTCAGTATCTTAAAGATAGGTTTAAAATTTTAAGTGATTCTCACCATTTTTCTCTTCGTTCTAACCTTATCTAGCTTTACAAGTTCCTTCACACTCTTCTTCCTTCTATACTCGCTCCTTTACTGACCAATCTGTCCGTCTGTGGAACTCGTTACCAAATAAAGTAAAACAGGCTGATTCGCTGTCACTATTTAAAAAATTAATAAATGAATATTATCTTAACTTATAAGCGCTAAATGGTGTCATATTTTATTTTATATGTATAATGTTTATATGTGTGTATGTATGTATATATGTATGTATGTATGTATGTGTGTATATTTGTATGTATGTATGTATGTGTGTATGTATGTATGTATATATGTGGTATGTATGTATATATCAGTTTGTATATGTATGTATTTATTGTATCTCTCATTAAGATTGTTTGCACCCCTTCCTTCTCTCTTCTTTCTCTCTACCCAAAGGTTGCCTAGAATAGATCGCTCTCTAGCGATAAGGCCGCCCATTGTACTATATTCCTTTAATCTGTTTCAACTATATAATGTAAAATAATAGTGTGCAATAAAGAATATTTCATTCATTTCATTCATTATCTAACGTCATTTTGAATTGATAATAAAATAAAAGTGTCTCTTTGTAATATAAAAATAACAACTTTTTAATAAATGCATATGAAAGTATAAGCTCCGAAAAAGCTGGACTGATTTTGACGGGACTTTCCCGGGCAGATAGTTGATGTTATAAGGAGTAACTTAGGCTACTTTTATTTTAGAAAAAGAATCAGGGTTCCGCGCAAAAATATTAAAACCCATGAAATTGTGTACAAAATCCGCGTAAATCTCTAGGACTTTATATAAAAAGAAACAAACAAAAAGCTTTGAGTAATAAATTAAGTATAATAATGTAGTGAATTTTAATCTTTAAAAATTGAGTAGATACCTACAAAAAAAAAATACAAACGTGATGGATCGGACGGGTCTCGTTTAGTATACCTACTGGATATAACTAAGAAATATTTACTACAAATATTATAATTACTTTAGGTAATTACAAGCAAAATTCCGTAATGTAAATTTATTACATTATAAAATCAAAAATCGAACTAATATTACAAATGCGAGAATTTGTAAGAGTATGTGTTAATCTTCAGGTCATGACGCGGGCTCAACGGATCGAGTGAAATTCGGAATGGATAAAAAAGTTTATGAGTATATCCTTTTATTAACACACACACATCCCGGAAAAACACTAATTTTTCCGGGATGAAAAGTAACATGTTGTTTGACCGGCAATATAGGGTATCAGAATGTAAAATTTTACTAAATTAGAGGTGCATAAGTTATTGTGTATTAAGCTGTATAAGATACTATACTTTTTTACTATTCCACAGGAACTCTTTAATTTTCTGGGATGAAAAGTATCTAAAATATTGACCGGGGATATAAGGTACCACCATACAAAATTTTGCTTTAATCGGTCCAACAGTTTCGGAGATTAGCCCGTACAAACATACAGACAAACTGACAAACAGACATATGTACAGGCAAACAGACAAATTAAAAATGATTAGAATTATAAACTATTATAAAACTTGAAAATCTATACATATAATAAAATTGTAACTGATCGCTGTCTGTACATGGAAGATATTTGAATAAAACCATCAATCAATGTGGGTCTTTATTAACGCAATAGAACCTAAAACTATGCTTTTTAGAATATTTCTCTGTTTGTCTGTACGTTTGTGCGTGCTAATCTCAGAAACAGCTTACCCGATTCGGTTCATAAATAAAAAAGTTATGTCAATTTAAAGAATCGCCTAGGGGCGAACCCGGTCGAAGCGAGGGTGAGTCGCTAGTATCAAATATAAATTCATATAGCATTTAAATCTTATAAAACAAAAGAGGTGTTCCTATAAAATGAAATTTAATTTATTTTGCTGGCGTTAAAATAGGTGTAAGATTGATCTCGATTGTTCCCTAAGTAAAATAGATCAAGCACCCTTAAAAACTGGAGTTCTCTTAAAACAAGCTGCGACCTTGTTTCAAGCATTTTATATTGTTGTATAAGTGGAGTTGAATTTATAAATGAAAATTTGCGCTCTTTGCTGATTGTAAAAAATACGAAACGAATGTTTAGATATTAATTATACATACGCACAGAATCTGTTTTCTGTTATTCTAAGAAAACAGTTTTTATATTAGCGCTATACATAATTCATTAGAATAATGCGGGATTTTAAGCTAATGTATTTAATTTATACTGTTTATTCGCATTGTATTACTTTTTACTCTTTAATATTCAAAGTTAAACCAAGGAGTTTTTACTAGAATTTGCACAATATTTTTAATAATAATACCAATTTGGTTACTAAATAATTCGTACATATTATATAGCTTCAAATCACGTTTTAGAGAGGATAATTTAAAAAACAATTAATATTTTTCAATGACTTTTTATCAAACCAATTTCCAGTAAGTATTAATTTGCAATAGATTTTTTATCATAAACATAATTAGTACAACGAATTGATGTATTTACTTAATTAGACACAGTTATAAAAAACTTGGGTAGATTGCGTCTGAAAATGGCGTCATATCGTTACACAAGCTCCACAATTGGAGATTAAAAAAATGCTTACAAATTTTAAAAACGAACATATGAAATTTGAAACTCTTATAATTGTATATATTAATTAAATACATAATAATAAAAAATATAAAAGCCAAAAGTAACTGTAATTAATAAAAAAAACACCTTTTCTGTAAAATTGTGGTTTATATACATATTACTGACATTATTTATGAATCTATTGAAACAAAATAAACACTAAATGTTAAGTGAAGCTTACAACAATATATTAGTAAAAACCTAATCCGAATTGGTAAAGCCGTTTCTTAGATTATCGGGCACAAACGCACAGACAAACAAACAAAAATTCTAAATTTTTTTGTTTTGGATTATATTACGTTAATAAAGACCCCAATAATAGTTTTTCTCAAATATCCTTCATGGACAGACAGAGATGAGTTACAAATTATTATATGTATCATGAAAACTCATTATAATTAATATACACAATATATCTAAATGTTGTATGCTTTAATTTTTAGACAATTTGTATTACATTTCCAGACCTTAAGATAGTAAAACCAAAAAAAAATATATATGTAGCAGTGGTGTAGTAGTAGTAGAGCAAAAATATTGCTTACCTGAATTTCATCAACATAATTATAATATAGAACATTCTTCCACTTGAAAGGCACATCACGGGAGACCCTGAATGTGGAGCTGACCCCGGGAACATCAACACTAGTGTGTGAATGGAGAAACTCATCTACCGATGGTGTTATACCCACGCCTAGGAACTTTAGCAGGTCATGTGATGTACTATTGGGATTCAGTGCTAGTTCTTCATAACGGAGCGCTCTGAAAAGTAAAGGAAAGTGAATATTACTATCGATTCACTATATATCGGTGTCGGGTGCGTCTCTAAGTACGTTTTATTTTTTTGAGCAGAACCTTAATCTTTTTTAAAATAAAAGTAGGCTAACTTACTCCTTATAACATCATTTATCTGCCAGTGAAAGTCTCGTCAAAATCTGTCCAGCCGTTTCAGAGATTAGCCAGGACAAAAAGACAGATAGACAAAAAAAATAAAAAAATTGTTTTTCTTATAAGTACCATATATACTTTCGTACGCGTTAAGTAAAATGCTATTATTTTGACATTACACATAGACACTTCCATTTTATTTATCTGTATAGATGGGAAATGCATTATATACTTAAAAAAATATATAGCCTACATTGTTATTGGCCCATAAATTATATTGCTATGCTCTGTTAATTAGTAATAATTAGTAAAAAAGGCAAATAAACAAGTCAACTTTTTGTTGTAATAATATTGTTAAGTATATGGTCTAAATTTAAAACACTAACTTAAATATTACGACAGAAATTCTAGTCAAACCAAATGGAAAAAAATATTTTTTACTTATATATATATATATATATATATATATATATATATATATATATATATATATATATATATATATATATATATATATATCCATACTAATATTTTAAATGTGAAAGTGTGTATGTTTGTTTGTCTTTCTTTCACGTCGAAACAGAATGATTGGATTGGCGTGATTTTATGTGTCGAGAAAGTTGGACGGCTGGAGAGTTCCGTAGGAATGAGATATTATCTCATTCCCACGGGAAAATTCTTTATAATACAACCCAAAAAAATATTTATGATCAGAATAACTTGAATCTTAGTATTAATGCTCTTCAATATAATTAAATACATAAATACGTGCTTTCGAAATTTATTCATCCCATAAGGGGGGGTAACAGAAGGGAAGAAAGTTTGTATGAAACCTACCTTTTTAGAGTTTCTTTTATTGTTTTAGCGCGAGCGGGTTTTACATATATAATAAAAAAACTGTCAACTGAATATGTAAACAAAAAATTATAGATGAGCTTAAATCTGTGTCAACTTTACTGTACATGATAAGAAAAATATATACAAGTAAATTCAAAAGGTTCAGATATACCAAACCCACAAGTATAACAATTTCTGTAAACATTGCTCATATATGTATGCTTGTTTACATGCCCCATTTAACCAGGATGTAGTTCATTGGTATTACTGCAGTAATAAAAATGAGTGTACAATATATTTAGATAAACTATTTATTTGGCCTGTAGCCAATACTTTCAATACCTGCAGTGAAGCTAATTAGAATCTTGTAGAAATTTTGAGTATTAAAAAAAATGCTATAAATTATAACACAAATGAACATTTTAGAATCAAATATGAAAAATCAAACACATTTGACTTTTAGGTCGATGTTTTATCTGAAATTCATATCCACAATTTTTTACAAAATAAGTACATAAAAACATTATAAGAAATGTTCTTTAGTAAGATATACTTAAATATTAATTACTATTACTCCCACAGTATTTTATAAATATAATTGTTACACATCTTTTAAAATTAAAGAGAGCTTTAGTTAATTTTATTACTTACATAAATCTGTTTGGGTATTGTTGTAAAAGGCGTCCAGCTGCTACATAATCACTGATCATGTCTGCACAGAGTAATTCAGGCTTCCAGCAATCTGGTGCAGGTTGACAGAAGTCACGATGCTGTCTTGACTGCAGAACTCCCCTCGGATCGCGAATTAACAAAATAACTTTCAAATTCAGCCTGGAATCACATGATACTATTATAATACATTCTCTTTCATATAAAGTATGCTTTATAAAAAAACCTTCACTAACAAATAATTTAAACTATTTATAACAAGAAGTAAAGGATTGTTTCATTATATTTATAATAATCAATTCATTTGGATTAATTCAACTTTGAAATTTACATCATAAATAAAGAATGTTTGGATAGATTTGTGTTAATGACTTAATTAAAATAAAAAAAAACTCACTCTTTATCTTCTAACAGCTTCTTAATAAGACGTAACCTGACACGGACTATTTTCATACTTTGAAATGGAAATAGTTTACAAATCCTGGAAGTGAAATTTGCATCAACACACAATTCTTTCTTATATTTACAATGGTCCCATAGTCTAGTATTGTGGCTGAACTGGTGCCAATGAGTCTTCCCATACTCAAAATATTCGTCCATGCCGTCATATTTACATTGAAATAGCTTTTTAATTATTCCTAGTGCTTCATCACCATAAGGAGTTCCTCGTATTTGAACAATACCATAATTCAAAAATGGTTCATAGTGGTAGTAATTGCTTGGAATTGCATTTAATACTTCACCAAGAAATGTTGAACCCGACCTCCAGGTAGATATAATCAAACTTCTCAAAGGCTGTCCTCCTGACTCCATAAGTAAATCTTCTAATTTTTGAACACCAGATACAGTGTAGTTATAACCTGATAAGTCATGTTTAATTTTAACCCGAGTTCTGTTCAATATTTTTTCAATGTCAGGAGAACCATCGTAAGAATTCGTGGGGATCACTTGCACCATCAAGTTTTCATCTGAAGCTTCATCTTTGATAAAAAAATTTATGCTTCTTCGACTTTCAGGAGATGGACGGTAATTAGTGTTATCTGTATATCGACTTCCAGCAAGAATTAAAAGGACACTGAGTCCAAACGCAATACATATTGAATAAAAATTAACACGCCGCAACATTACTATTTTAAAACACGAATAAAATTGATCGACAAAAATCACAGGGATAGATTAGATATTTTCTTCAAAACAAACACTTCCAATACACACTCACTATCATTTTTTATAAGTTATTTGGCGTTTTTCAATCATGATTCTCGCTTTCGCGTTTCCGCGGAAACACCGCATTGCACCTTCAACGCCATTTTGAAAGCTCAGTTGTCATTTGTCAAACACTTTTTTAACAGCCGACAGCCATTAATGTTATTGTATCTGTTGTCACGAATGGCATTGAACTACTGTTATAAATGTAATACTAACTAATCGACTTTCGAGTCGAAAGTTTCAATAATATGTCCTTCTAAATAATAATGATTTTTAAATGCTTCTATAGAAACTTCAACACGTCCTCCACACGTAACAGTCTGTTAGTAAATGTACTTTATGAGTGTAAATCTAAAATTAAATACTTGAGGCAAGCCAGTTTACAGTAATTGAACCTAATACAGTTGCTGGAAACCGTTAGTATCTACTTACAAGTGTGTAAAATGAAGTTATACAATATTATTTTAATGCAATTTATTAAACACTTTAATTTAGATGTACATATAGATCATTGTCCACGTGCATCAGGAGTAGCATTGATTGCATTGTACCTATCAAAAACTAAAGTTACTACTGAAACTACATAATATTATAATTACAGGTACTTATATAAATGTGTTTTTGTTTAACTCTTAAACGTTCATTTCAGATTGAAACAAAAAGGTAAAGGTTCATTAGTAGGTATAGGTATGTAGTTCTATATTGAACTAGCGGCTCACCCTCGCTTTGCTCGGGTTTGCCTCTAGACAAACAAAAACAAATTTATCCACGAGAACCGCAAATTTTTCGGGATACAAAATAGCCCATTTATTATTGTGATATATAAACTAAGTATATTATTGTAAAGTTTCATTAAAATCCAATCAATAGTTAGTTATATATATGGGGATATAAGGTACCATGATGCAAAATTTCATTTAAATCGGTCCTATACTTTCGGAGATTAGTCCGTACAAATAGACAGACAGAAACAAAAAAATTGAAAAAATCTGGATTTGTTCTATTTCTCTTCTTACAACCCCCTGACTCGGTTTTTAGCATTTTTTTCTATGTACAGGCATTCGACCTCTACAGTTTTATTATAGTGTAGATAATATAATAAAAAACAACTAGCTTTCGCAAAGTATGTTCATCTTACTCTGTTGTAAGATTCTACATGTCCTATGAAAAATAAAACATTAAATATACGTATTATCCAATTTTATTCTTTCAAACAAGTAGATAATTTCCGATATAATATTTATAACTATAAACTTTATATTTAAGTAGAAAACTTCTACTAATCATTTGGTGAAATCGAATCGTCTCACATAATAATTATATTTTTAAACCTTGTATCCAACAACGTGGAATTTTCCTATAGTCTCACCCAAAAAGAACCACAAGCCTATCTCCAGACAAACTAAAAAAATTAACCAGGCTTGTCTGACGGTAATATATTTAAAACACCCTTTTTTGATAAATTCTTCCACCAGAGCGATATCTTCTTGCCATTGCTAAAATTAAACATAAATATAATCGTTATAATGAAGTGTAACATATATTTTATGCTGCGTAAACACCAACCTAACGAACGCCAACGAATGTGTTTCGTGGGCCCTATTTGGAGTTTGGACGACTTAACGCCAACGAACAACTGCGATCCGAAGCGTGGGGTAACATCAAAGGAAAGGAATCGAGCCATTAGATTAAACTCAGTGTGGACGGTCACCGAAGGCTGACGAACGAACGGATTGCTTCACGATAATGTGTATCCTTTTTATATTTTGGTATTCAACAACCATTCAAAATCTTGAGAAGACATTCTGCTAAAGTTTTCATAAACGATATTCTTTTTCTTCTTGTAAGTCTGCAATCATTTTACTTCCACCATACACATTTCTATTCTTAAAAGTACCTGGGCGACCGAGCTTCGCGATTTTTTGTTTTATCGTATTTTTTAGATAAAAAATCTAAAAACTTAAGCAATGACGACAGAGAAAACAAATGTAAAGACTTTGTCTCCGACCGGGATTCGAACCCGGACTACTGTGATGGTCAATCTTGCGCCTTGGCCGCTTGACCACGATGCTTATGCCCGTGCGTGCGAAACTAAGGACCATATTTTGCGTGAGAGTTTAAAGTAAACTGCATGAAAACTCGAAAACAAGCATTTTCCCAGACATCAGAGTAATTTAGATCGATTTTTCGCTTCCGAAAACCCACACATACCAAATTTCAACGTAATCGTTAGAGCCGTTCCGAGATCGCCGTTATAAATAAATATACAAGAATTGCTCGTTTAAATATATTAGATAGATATGTGGTTGTCCACCATCTCCGCTTTCGTTTAATTTTTCTTGTCCTTGCTAACTCGTTAGCTAAAGTATATAAAACTAGCAATTATAATTATTTCATCGTCGCCCATGATCAAATTCAAGCCGGAATCAGATACCAACGATCGTTTGCTCGACCACTTAAATGTATTTGGACGTACGAGTATCTTCGAAGGCCAACGAACGTGCGGTAGCCAACGCTGAATATCCTTCGTTGGCGTTCGTCGGGCCGGTGTATACGCAGCATTATTAAAATAGATAAAAGCAAGGGTATCCGACAGAGTTACTGTCTTTAGGAATGCCTACCGCAGGCTTATGTCAAGCGGAGAATGCATAAATATGGTTAAATAAATTTTACAATTAGATATTTTGTAAATAAGTCGATACGATCGATACCTCATTAGCGTCAAATGAAATTAATTTTTATCACTTAATATTTTTTTAATTTAAAATCTCGGTTATAAATATAAAATCAGTTAAAATAGAAAATCTTGCCTTTAAAGTGCTTTTAATATAAAAATAATACAATACAATTTTCGTTGATAACGTCATCCCTATAAAACCTACTTATATTACTATATTTTCTTATTTCTTTGTTATATTGAATTATTTTTAAGAATTCAATGTTTAATTCGCCGATACCTGCGGAACCTTTTAAAACGACAACCATATATTCTTATGAAAAAGATATATTTAGTCCATAAGTTAAAAAAAGAAAGGCTTAATGCATCCTGCTAACTTGAGAGTTAGTGGTAGCGCTAAGAATTGTTTTAATTGCTTTAAGTTTTGTTTGGAATTAGGTACTTTTCGTAACTTGGCAATTTGATATTCCTTGAAAATAATTAAGAATAAAGTATGAAAATCAATACAAATCATCTAGGAAGTTATCTAATGAGCTGATTGAGTTTTCTTTATAGAACCTAAGCTTATAGCTAACCCTCTTTCGCTAGTTAGTAGGTAAACAAAACATAATTATTAATTAGCCAAAAAAGTACCTTCATTTCGTCAAATTTTGGTGGAGACATTTCCACTCTATAAAATTCTTTAGCAACGCGCATTTTTTTCGCAAAGTCCGATTCCAATAGATTTGAAGATTTTTGTTTGATAAGTTCTATTAGTTCTACTTGGCGTTCTTTTATCGCAGGTCTGTAGACAAAGCTTAATTGGCTGAATTGATTAATCTTGAAACCTGTGCGAAAGGTATTATGTAATATATACCTAGGTACATTTCGTATGGAAAATAATACCTATTATTATTATTAGTTGACCATAACCGAATTTATTTAAAAATAAAATATTTTAAGTTTCAATGACTATGATATTATAAAACTTTATTAAATATCATGTATGAGCTTCTGCAATAATTTTAAAAAAGGATAAAATAAAAAACAAATATTTACGTTGTATATAATTTGCATATTTAGCCGCTTTAATTCCTATAGTCATAATGATTCGTAATTTTTTTATTGTAAATCAATATATATATATATATATAATATATTATGTTAGGTATCGTAGATATCGAAGAATTTATTGTTGGACTTGTCACTAGTGACATTAATAAGTTGTCAGTATATATTCTCAGGACTCATATTAAAAAAATATTAAACATTGAAAAAACAGTATATTTTTGAAAGTACATTGCTTATTCGAAGTCACTTAGTATTATTATAACTCTAAAATAGCTTAAAAAAACATGTTTAAAAGTTATAAAAATTTTATTTAAAGATACAAGTAATATAAAAACTCTTTTGTTTTGAACATTTTAGACGAATAATTTACTTATTTTGATAAGAATTCATAATTGTTGATAATATGACCAATAAACATGACCTACCGATTTAAATTATTTTTTTAATATAAAAAACTACTTTTTGTGACTTAAATATAAAAGTTAGACATATGCTGTCCGTGACTTTTTTGTAGGCATTATTAAGCTCTATAACTTTTCTCTAGAACATAATCATATATCTCTCATCGTTAAGGCAGCGTTCGTAAGAAACGTTTTAGTTCGACCGTTTTTTCTCCGGCTTACTTTACAAATCCGACTACCACGAAAAATCCTTTTCATTCTTCGGGTTAATATATATAGCCTATGACACTCAGAAAGAACGTGGCTTTCTATTGGTAAAAGAATTTTGAAAATCGGTTTAGTAGATCCAGAGATTACCCCCTACAACGTCACAAACTCACAAACTCACAAACCCACAAACTCACAAGATCACAAACTTTACCTCTTTATAATATTAGTATAGATATAGATAAGCATGATAAAAATGTAAAAATGATATTTACATATCTTCGACTTTTTTTAAATTAATATAATTAGTAGGTACATAGCTTTACTTAATTACGTCAACGTCCATTTATGTACATGAACGAGCAGTTTTAATTAATTTATTACTTAACTTGTGACTTACCCTCGCTTCGCTCGGATGCGTCCCTAGGTACGTTTTAAATAGATATAAATAGTTACCTATTAGCTAGCGTTAGCCATGTACATTTAAATTATTATTTTTTTGATTTTTTCCAATGTTTTTACTATTAAGTTATTCTGCTTTTCGGGGCGGAGACAAATGAAAGATCATAAAAATCGTTCCAAAATGGTGTAAGTAACCTTGGCGTAACTTTCTTTTATATATATAGACTAGCATTGTCTGCCGCTCCACCCGCGTTTAAATTACCAAAAATCCAATACTTAGGTTTTACATATTAGTATAATCTTACATTGCAGTTTTTGCATTTTTTATCAGAAATGAGATATTTTCCCGCAGTAAAAAGTATCCTATATGTTGACCCGGATAACTAGCTACTATCATATCAAATTTCATCAAAATCCCTCTAGTGGTTTTTCTGTGATGCGGTACCAGACAGACAGACAGACAGACAGACAAACAAAAATTCTAAAAACTATAGATTCGGCCTCTGTATAGATAATAATGTCTATTTCAATAAGATTTTCCAAAAATATTTAATGTACAGATTCGGCTCGTGTTACAATTTTATTATATGTATAGATTAATTATTTATGAGACTAATTACTTATGCTCAGATAGTCTGGTAGGTGGTTATAGCTCTGGCTGCCAAGTATGATATACCTATCATTTTGAATTAAGTTCCCCGTCGCACAAAAGGAGACTGCCGAGAGAGAATTCGAGGTCTACTTACGTTTTTGATCTGATGTGAAAAAATCGATATATCGGCACGTCTATGACGCGACGGCACCTTCTATCACTCGATCCTAAAAATTGTTGGTTGACTGTCCTTGACCAGAGGCCCTCGTACTGTTTATTGTGATTGAATGAGGTTCCATGGGCTGGAGTACTGAAAAAACTAGGAAAGACTTATCAATAGTAACCAAGCAGTCAGGCTGACCGAAGAGTTATAGAAGTATGTAAATGATACACCTCTAAGTTAATAAGGGTAAGGGTGGCCGTAGTACCAGTAGGTAAGTATTTTAGTTTTGTAAGGCGAGTCCCACTTTACTTCCTGTATTTGTTAGACGACAAACGTATTTAACGAAAAAATATATTAATTAAATCAATGTTACAAGTTTTAAATAGGTACCTATCTTCAATTTAGGGTACAGATGATTTAAATGGAATAAATCATTGTTTTAAATTTAATCATTTCTTTATTTTATTAAGTTTTTTGTATTATAATTATACATATTAAAGTAAAATAAATTAATAGGAAAAAACTGATTTACAATGAGCCTCGTTGTATCATTTGCTATTTGCTTTTGGCGGAGTTCCTTTCTTATCTTCTCGCCTGTGTTTCTTCGGTTCTTTTCTTTTAGCTTGCTTCTTCTTTTTTGGTGTAGTTGTAGCCGCCTTTTTTATTTCTTCTTTTTTGGTGTCAGATGCGGTATTCTTTGGTTCTTTAGCTTGTGCCTTCTGTGCATCAGTTTTCTGTTTCGCCTTGGCTTCTTTAGCTAATTTCTGTGCCTCCTTTTTCTTAGCCTCCTCAGATTTTCTTTTTGCTTCGGCCTTATTTTTTTCCTGTAGAGCTTTCGCTTCTGTCTCTTTACGTGCAACTTCTCTTATCTTTTCAAGTTCTATTTGTTGGATTCGATTTTTTATGCCCGCAATAAAGTTATCAGTAGCTTTTGATACAACATCTTCTAGTTTTTTGCCACCGGGACCGTGAAAAAAATTAAGTGTCATGGGTGGTACAGCCTCAGTTTTCACATATTGCCAAGCTATCACTGAAGCAGATTTCAAAGATTTACTTGCTTCTAAAATGAAAAAAAAATCATTATTATACTTAAGTATCTCTAAGTCATATAAGGGAAATTAAGACATGAATAAAGTATTATACGAAATATCTTTATTATTTGGTTGAATATACCTATATTATTACATAACAAGAATTTTATTTGGAAAGTTATGAGTATCATAAATTCATTTCATATTTGATATTCTTTCTTTGATTTTTTCTAGTTCTTTTTCAAGATACTTTAGCTCTTTCGGGAGTTGACGATCACGAATTGTAGTCATTACTGATATCAATGTATCTGTTAATTTATCTAAAGCTGTTTCAGTTTTATCCACTATAGGATTACATACTAAGCGTTTTATCGATGTTTTCTCTACGGTAGTTTTGGCTGAAAACCATAATCTTGATACGACTGGCCGAATTGCTCTCAGAGAAACTGCAAAACAAATACGTCTGTTATTATACGTATTAAAAGCAAATTTAAATTGGAAATACAATTTGTTTTGCTTTCTTTGAGAGTAACTGACATAAACTTCACATACCTAACGCCATGTCTAATGCAATTCTAGTTGCTCTTGCCATTTATAATTCTGGTTTTCTTTTAATTTACGAAAACAGTAATTTATTTATGTGTCAGCTGTTATGTTCTTTGATTTTAAGAATTATTTCCACGAATTAGTACGACTTAAACATTTCAATCTGTTATATTTGAGATTCACAAATCACAATCAACTTATGTAAATTGTCAAATATAAAAAAAAATGCAAACAGCCAGTATTGTTAACTATATCAGTTAAATAACACTAGTTTACAAAATAAAAAAAAGTTATGTCCTTCCAGTGAATTTTATATTATTTATTCAGTTACAATTATTAAACGCAAACATAGTTTTTTTTAACTGTATCACGTCAAAAACTAAAGTTATCGTCACATTTTATTTTCTATCTACCCACAAGTTAGTTTTAAATTCATTGCAAAATATTGATGCAGTGTAGTGTTTAATTTAATAAATATGAGGCCATCTTCTATCTCTAATGACTCCTAATCTTTCTGAGACGAAATTAAAAGGTGTTTTTATCGGACCGCAAATCAAAAAAAATACTGAGGGTTATATTAGAAAATCAAAATATCCTTTCAGAAAGGTCTGCTGTGAATTCATTACGAATTTTTATGACAAGAGTTCTAAGGCAACAAAATAATGAAAATTACCGACAGTTAATTGCCGATTTATTAAAAAAAATTCAACAAATGGGTGTCCACATGCCTCTGAAAGTTCACTTCTTTCACTCGCACCTCGATTTCTTCTATGAAAGACTTGGACACGTCAGCGACGATATGGAGAGGGTTTTCACCAGGACTATAATTTTTTTTGAGCAAAATTATCAAGGATACTGGGGCCAGGCTATGTTAAGTGACTATTGCTGATCTATTATAAGAGTCGATACACTTAATTTTTGTGACTTTTGATTATTCTCACAAAAATATTAAAATTACCTACATATATTCATGAATCAGAATTTAATTATTCATTTATTTGCGCTAAAGGTATAGGTGACCTAACCACAATACCAACAAAGAAATGGTAAAGAAATTGGTTGGAAGTTCGGATAGTTCCTATTGTTGTTATTTTAAATATCTTTTGAATTTTTCGCGGATTTATTTTGATTTTTGGTTCCCCAAGAAGAAGAAATAATTATTTTTACGGTACTTTAGATTTACCGGAGTAGAATATAAATGGTGCTTACCAAAAAGTGATTTTGATTATTTAAAAAAAATGCTTGTATTTAAAATTGCAAACTATAGTAAAATACGAAAACAATATAGGTATTTTTTGAGCGACCGAAGAACAGACACAGGTGTGTAAACTTCTCCTTTTATCCAAATATATATATACAACTATAGGTTTAAAAGTAATTTAGGATAAAAAATTGCTAAACATAACTTCAAATGTCTTATTGGCAAAAACTAAAAAGCTGTAAATAAAAAAAAATATAAAAATAAAAATCCGACTGCATAAAAGCTAACTAAAAAGACGAAAACAAGTTGACGAAGGAATATAGTATATGCAGTCGGACGCACACGTTTCATCCTTGCCGCGAGATGTACATAAGTATGTCTCCGACTGCATGAGGTTCTCCTAGCCGATTCCGGCCACGGCGGCCAATCTCATTGAGACTAGCCAACTGCGCAGGAGATGTTATAGTGCACAAGTGTTCGCGCAGACACAAGTGCACTCTCTATTCCGACTACATAGTACCTACTCGTACTAATCTATATTCCTTCGTCAACTTGTTTTCATTATTTTAGTTAGCTTCTATGCAGTCGGGTTTTTGATTCTTATAATTGTTATTATTAACTTCAATGATATGATTTTTATTTCTCTTACATACTTTTATTTTGTCGTTTTTCAATAAATATTGAAGTGTGTTTGATAGATGGAGTTGACTTAACACTCAATCGATTATCAACGCGTTATAATATTTATTATATGAGTAAAATATATATTTATAATTTCATAATTATTACTTCTTATCGTAGAAATATTCTTAATATATTGCTTTGTTTCTTATTGTCAACTCTTTATTAGGTCATAATATATCAAGTTTAACCAAAGTAAAATTGCAAAAAAGTTATCTGCGTCTCTCGACGACGCGACGTGAACCCCCAAGTCGCTAAATAAAATGTATATCTACAATTTAAACAACACATAGAACATCTAAGTCCGTTGTTTTGTTATAAGTTATCATTAGGTAAATTATAACGTAGTTAATTTTATCTTCAATAACAATCTATGAATAAAATTTTATAAAATATTTAAGGATTTGAAGATTACATGTCTTGAGTCATTCATGATAATAATAAAAAAATTGCCTTGTTTGTGGTCACGTATCCTTGGTTTTTGAACTTTGTTAAGTAGTAATTTAAAATACTGAGAATTAGGTATCGGCTGTGGTATTATAATGCATGTCTCACTACAGACTACCACCAAATAATAGCTTAATCTGAATGCTTACTTTGCTTATTATGTAAATACTCGTAGTATAAAACAAAGTCGCTATCTGCGTCTGTCTGTTTCTCCGCTTACTGCTTCTATACCAAACAACGAATTCTCATACGGTTCTCACTAGTAGATAAAGCGATAAACGAGGAAGGTTTGTGTATATAATTGGTAGAAATATTTTGTAGAAAATGACTGAGCCTAGACGGTGTTTTGTCAAAAAACGTTTTCGTACGATTACATGGCTAACGTTGGCTAAAACTTTAGATATAGGAAAATCAAAACAATATACTAGTATAGGTTCTAAAAAGGCATACAGAAAAATCCGTGATAGTATGTGTGTATCTCCTAAGGTATGTCCACTATATTATAAAACATGAATGCTTTCGTATTTTTAAAAAGTTGAATCCTATCTAAATAGTTTGTGGTTTATTTTAAAATAAAATAAAATTTGAATTAGTAATGGATTTAAAGAAATAATATATGTCCGTGTCCTTACCTCGAAATCTGTTCTGTAGTTTGATCGTAAAAAAGTATCAAACAAATAGACAAAAAAGTTACTTTTACATTATTATTTGTATGAATGGTGATGAATTTAGACGATTTTCGATAGTATACCTACCTATACAAAATTAAATAACTTGTTGCATTATACAAATCAATTATATTCCACGGGAAGTTCATGGGGGATCATTGTTTTGGGTTCTATTGTGTTAATAAAGATCCCCAATAATAGTTTTTTTCAAATATCTTCATTTTATGTACAGACAGCGATCAGTTTTATTACATGTATAGATATTATTTATTATCTATTTAATTTCAATACAAACTAAGTATTTGCAGAGTGCTAATTAATTCTCATTGCCTCATCAATAAATTTATATTGCTTGCTCATTAAACTTTACTTTTACTTTACTTTTATTTACTTTGCATTGACCCAAATGCATAAACATAACGAAATGTGACTAAGTCGTAAATCACGAATTTCTAACAAGAATTCTTTTTCTTGGGCAATATTAAAACAGATATAAAGTAAACACAATATTATAAACAAGCTTTCGCTAGAGGTTTGCATTATTCATAACTTTTTATATTTTAGAGGATCAAAGGATAAGATGATATAACTGATGGTAAATGGCTAATAGCTATCGCCAATAGACACCTGCAGAGATATCTGAGTTGTTATTAAGTATAAAGATGGCAATGGAGATTCCGACTTAAATTACTTACTGATTTTACCTGTTATATTCAGATTTTAGAAGATCATTCCCGAAACAACTCAGTAATACAATGGGGGAATTGACCATAGTCCAGTCCTTCGATAGTTAGTTAGATTGTTTAGACAAGCAGGTTTCCGTAAGATATTTTCATTCACCTTATTACCGGTGCGAGACCCGAGTTTGAACCTCCTTTATTTGATTTTCCAAGCCAGCGTATTACTAACTGGCTACCAATTTTTATAACCGAGCAAACTTTTATCTTAATTTTTACAAATAGAAAATAACAGACAAACAGAAAATAATTTATATATACCATATATACGTAATATATGAATATGAAATGTTATATGTCGTAAGTTTTGGTAAGGCTCTAATTGTTGTCTCACAACTTGTGCTCAGGTTTGCGGCACTTTCCTTTTACTTCTCGCTCAGTATAAAAAATACTTTAAAAATATTCCCTAGTACATCACGAATTTTGTCGGTTTGAGTACGTTTTAATATTCAAAGGGTAAACTAAAATAATAATATACCTAATATATACAAACATGGTGGCGATTTATCTAATATTATAATTAACACTATTTCATAATTAATGCAAAGTTTGACTGTATTTGAAGCTTAATTGGAGACAAACTTTGCCAATATCCTCGGTATTGAAACTAACAATCATACATGCTGCTATATAGTATGTACGATTGTTAGCGTATAGGCAAATATAGTAATTAACAGTTTAATTATTGTATAGGTAACTTAAATTCTTCTTTTTCTCCTTGTCCTTTACTTTTCTTCTTCTCCTGGTCCTTATCCCACGATACGTGGGGCCGACATAATATGTTCCTTTTTCCACTTCCTTTATTAATTGTCATCTCTACACACACATTTCACATACATACCTATCCTCTTTCAGGGTTTTTTACTTCTACTACTTAAGATAAGGTAAGTTAGAAAAAAATCTATAATCTGTCTGTTTTTAGTAGGTGTGTATACTTATAGAGTATAGGTTAGGTAGACGTTATATTAGAAGCAAATAAAAAGTACAAAATATGTTTTTTAAACAGAATCATTAAAAACAGAAATCACGAGAAATTAAAACTGAAAGTCGATAAAAGGCACAGATAAAATGTCTGTGATGTTCGCATACTCATTAAAAATATAAAGTGTGTATTATGGGATCTTAAAAATATACTTTTTTCATTATAGAAAATATTTGGTTTGAATATACTTGCAGACAGACACGGGTACTTAAATACTTATATTCGATTTATGCGATAATATGAACGTGTACAACATTCAAGTAATTTGACTCGAAGATATAACTGCAACCCCTAATTCTCTAACAATAAGTAATTTTATTGTCTCAAGCT